GCTGATGACGTGTCACGAGTACACGAGCACACGAGAACGCTCAAGAACGCATATTGAGAAATGCCTACAGGGTGCAGGATGAGTGCAATTCTGTTCCCTGAGGTACATCTGTACCCCTATAGGGCACATGAACTTAAAGGCACATATCTGTCCTTTTTATGGGCCTGAAAGGTACATTTTGGTTCCCAAGTAATAAATGGTACATATACCTACTCTTTATTTATACTTTTAGATTATGCTTTAAGAAGATGGACAAAGTGAAAATAGAAAAATGATAGACAAAAATAAGACTGTTGTCGTGTTGGGTTTCAAATGTCTTGCCCATATGCAGAAAATTACTCACGGCATGGGAAAAGTTAACAATTTATTGAATGTGACAAAACTCAGAGAGAGATAATACAGGAGGGAAGTCAGCTAGGAAGTATGCAGCGGACTGGTGAACTGGAACCGGAAACTCTAGAGGGAGATCAGAAATGGTGAGTTCATGGTCCATAGGAAATTCGTCCGAAGAAGATGATTAGCTTAATTTGACTCACTGAAAATTGTCTTTAGTTGATCCTTAGGTCCAGTTTGTGGGGAGGATGTCCAGATATGGAGGTTACTTAGATGGAGGCAGACAGGCAGACTTTTGGTGGGTCCAGAGGAGCAGCGGAGACAACTGTATCAGATTTTCTTGAGGAGGGCTTGAACTGATCAGGTGAAGGTTTCCCCTTGCTCAGAGAGACGAATATTTCCTTCCAAGGGGTAGAAGGACCAGGCTTATCCAGTGGATCAGGAAGTTATCCTGCCGGAGAATCACAAACAAGACAAAAGGTTAAATCCTTAAACCCGGAGAGACAAAAACTCAGAAGGTTAGACTCAGCTAATCTCAGAGAGGCTAGAGTACCCAATACTGGCAAACACTCTGGCGTTGAGGTGATGACAGTCCGCTGCTTATATACTCCTCTGGAGGTAATGACCAAACAAGCCACAGGTGTGGGGGGGTCAACACCAGGAAGAAAGCCTCCAGGCCAACAGAGAACTAGAGCACCATCTAGTGGATGGACGAAGGTACTAAAAAGAAGAAGAACACAAAGCAACCCCCCATAAACAGGAACCCTAACAACTGTAGCCAATTCAATGTAGATTTTTACAAAAAATGGCTATGGTATGGTATAAAGTTTTAAAGGAAAAGTCCTGACAGCGAGGAATAACCATTGGTCATTATATATACCTAAAACTAATACGTTTGCGGTGCTTTAATGAATTTGGAATTAATCTGTAAAAAAATAAAAGCAACATTTTTCTTCGTGATCAATGAGTTCAGGACCTGGCAATTTTTACTCACAGTTATAAAATGGAGCGTTAGGTTAGTTGGCATCCTTAAATTGTCCTTAGGTGTGAGTGTGTGTCCATGGTTGTGTGTCCCTTTGCTGCTTTGAGATGGACTGACGACCTGTCCACAGTGTACCCTGCCTTTTGCACATAGACTATCGCAGACAGGCACCTTACTCTGGGGAAGTAAGAGGGAGAAGATGGATAGATGAATTTATATATGTTTTTTTATTTTTCTAATAGGGTACACGATGACCACCAAAAGTACAAGTCTAACTTATGAGGTACAATTTATAGGGGTACAGATGCAGTAAGTACCAACAGTTGAGAGTTCAAAAGTAGGAGGTTGGAGGGTACTAACCAAGTGACAAGCCCTTGTACCCAGAAGGTGTAATAACCTCATAAACTTGGATCCAATATTCAGACAGGCAGACCAGGACAATTTTCAACAAGCTTTATTTTTAACAAAAGAACACAGCAAGCAACTGGGCATAAGCAGAGCAGATAACTGAATTCTCGGCAGCGACGGAAAACACAGGTCAGTAACTCGAATTTCTGGAATTTTTATTCCCGGAGTAGAGGGAAGAATCTGGGAGGGAGAATGTCCACCATTTGCAGCCGTAGCCTCTTCCAGCCCCTAGTGATGATGAGCTGATGTCAGCCGACGCTGAGGGAGCAACAGTGTCAGTGAGGGCAATCCAAACCGAGGTCAGTGAAACAGTCCAGGATCAGTAGCCAGCAGAAACTAGGAAAACGGAACAAAATAACAGCACACAGAGCAGACAAGGGCAAGGCAAAAACTCAAATATCCAAAATGAGAAACAGGTCAGAATCAATATTGCAGACAAAACTCATTTGACGCTAGAGTTACTCTCACCACAGCTCAAATAATCGGGCACTGATTTTAGGCAGGCAAACAACATAAGAAGCTGAGGGAACCAGGTGTAAACGATTTGCGTTAATAAGCCACCTGCTCAATTAGACAGGTGAGCAGTAGCAAATGAAAAAGCCAACCATCAGTGCCAAGACCATGACAGAAGGTACAATTTGGTACTTCTTTTTCTGAGTGTGTTACTGTGACTTCCAACCACATGCCCTGACCTCTTAGGGTGATTTCAATTGAATTGAAATGCATCTCTATACACTATCATGTCAAGTGTCTTTTCCTCAAACTTTGGATACAGCAGTTCATTTCTATGGGCTCTGGGAAGGCCTGCCCCAATGAGATTTTGTCACAAAGCACTGCTGAGGGCTTGATTAATACTGGTAACTGAAATTCTGTTGTCTCTTTGAGAGAACTACCATGCCATTGATGAAGTGAGTTTGATTAATTCGCTATTAAAGAATTGAGACCACCAAAGCCAAATTTAAGTATCATTTAAGTACCTTCCTGGAGATAGTATGAATTGGTAGGATAGCTAGTGTGATGTACCTAGAAATGCCACCAGATTGTTTTTTTTCTTAGTTGTAAGTTTTTTGTATTTGTTTTATTAAATGTCCTCAAAGGTAAAATTTTATTTTATAATACTCCAACCAATTACTTCACCTGTATTTAGTGTTTCCTGGGAATGCGAGTATGGTCCTCGCCAAGTCTGTTCTTGAGAAGAACACAGGAAAGTATGGACTCTGGGAGAACGGGAGCACACAGGATAAATATTGGTCAATTGGCCCAGAAGCATACTTTTGATGTCACCACACGCTCAGCTCGTCTGGAGCTGCATTTCACCTCCTCTTATTAATAGTGTCTAGATATAATTAAGTTCTTACTTTTTTCATTTAGTGGGGAAATAATAATAATGAACACAGTAGAGACTGACATTTTTTCGGGAATCCTGTGGGATGGGAGTCAGTATTAGTAACGATCATGTGATTGGGACGGTACAGGATTAAACATTAACGGGAGCAGACGGGAGCAGGAGCAAACCAATAGTAACTAAAAAAAACTGGGATCGATGCAAAAAAAAAAAAAAAAAAATCGAGTACTGGCGCCGCCATTTTGTAGTTTTTTCCTTGAAGCCTACACTATAATGCGAGTCAAAAAAAACTACACAACCCAAAAACCAACAGTGCTTCCGCTCTGAGTTTTTCACCCGCGCTCAAAAACAACAATGGAGGGACCAACAGTTACTACAGTTAGAAACAGGAACTTAACTGACCCTTCATAGAAATTCAGATTCAATGTATTGGCAGAAATCTTATTGAAGACAACAAGAATGGGAGTGGTGCAGGAGCGGGAGTCATTCTGAATGGGAGCGGGATGGGAGTGGGAGTAATTTCACCAGGAGTGGGACGGGACAGGATTTAGATTTCTACTCTGGCCCGGGATCGGGACGGGACACAAGTTTTTTCTGTGGGAGTGGGACGGGACAGGAGTGAAAATCCACTCCCGTGACAGTCTCTAGAACACAGTCAGATAAACACAAATCAAATGAACATTTTGCCAAAAAAAAAAGGCATCAGAGTCAGTAGTAAACCCTGACTCTGATGACCCTGTCTACTTTTAAGGGTAGGCTTAAAACTTTCCTTTATGATAAAGCTTATAGTTAGAGTGGCTCAGGTTATTCTGAGCTAACTCTATAGTTATGCTGTTATAGGCTTAGACTTCTGGAGGACATAGGGACCCCCATTTCATAATTCTGCTTAATTCTATCTCCATTCTCCCACTCTGCAGAATCTGTTAGTTCAATCTCTAACTGCTTATGCTTTCTCTGCTTTTTCTCTTAGTAGCTTTGCCTCGCCTGTTCCTGTTGGCTGTGAAACCATCATGGGGAGCTGAGGCTGATGATGTTTTTCGAATACACAAGCACATGAGAACGCTTAAGAACACATATTGAGAAACGGCTGCATTCTGGATGTTAAAGGCAGCGCTTCATCTCTTCACTAATCTCACCTGCCCTAATTTTTCAGTACACAGTAAAAATGTGCCAAAATGTAAAGCCTTATTAACTGCTAAGCGATTCTGCCAGAGTTCTGCACCTTAGCAATACACATTGATCAAACCATAACAGATCATAAATGACTAATAAGAAGTAATAGGACAGAGTTGATTACACCCTGGGGAAAAAATACTTTTCTTGATGGAAAATTTAACAAACGTGCAATGTATATGTAAGAAATATTTTGTTTGGGGACAAATAAAAAAAAACTGAATGTTGAAGACGTCTCTTTTTCACTCTCCTCTTCTATCAGTCTTATGCTATTCTTAAACAGAGACATTAATCAAAATCACTTCCAACAACATTAGAATGTATAACAGGAAAGCATATGACTATTATCTCATCTGATTAAATACTAAAAATGGTAATTAATTTTTATTTTGGATAATATTTGGCGCTAGAATCAAGAACATCATAATAAACAAACATTAGATAGGTGGTTTTCTCTTACTCCATCATGTTGAGATCATGCAGATCTTGTCTGAGTTTTCCAAAACGGGGACTCTCCCCAGAAATCTGGGACATCTGGTCACCCGGGGCTAACGCCCACTTCTGCCACGCCTGTGTCCTATTCTAACATGGAGCCTGTCTTTACAAAGACAGGTGACATTCATATGCGTCATCTTTCAGAAAAGATTAAGAAAAATTAACCTTAAAGATCTATATGGACAACTGCCAAATACAGGCAGCCTCTGGGAGAAAAAAAAGTTCAACACAGTTGCATGAGAGCTACAGGACAGTTATGCTTTGACAGGACAATCAGGTAAACAAGAATCGCCATATCCTATGCTTACTTATTGTCTGTGTAAAGTTTTATGTTGGTTTTGAGTCCATTTTGCAAGGCAAGGATGAAGGCATTCTGTACACCCTGGGAGTTTTTGTAGACTGGTAGATTTTGTGGTATAACTGGACGAGGTCTTAAAGGTGCACTTAGGACTGGCTATAGCATTTAAAGGCATGTCAAAGACGATATATATAGAATGAACTGCTGCATTGCGTAGCATCCATCATCAGAAGACACATCATGGAGGAAGATAAATTGACTATGATTTTAGCAATCTAATCATATGAAACCAGGCATTTCTACACAGACTCAGTGCTTTTGATGGTATATATAGACAGAAAACACACAGTGGAAGAACAATTCTTGGAATTCATTCTCAGCTTGTCTACAACAGCCGGCTTTATTGACGATGCAGTTTAAGAGAGGTCTGAACAGCAGATCAGTATAATAAGTGTAAACTTCTTGCGCAAGCTTATGATGGTGTCACTGAGATAAGATGAAAGAACAAGCAGAACAAGGTACCGAAGGTGGAAAGAATTGTAAAAAAAAAAAAAATATATGTCCTATGTGTTCCACGCCTTCGTTTCATGTAAAGCAAAGATAATCTTTGCAAACACCCTATATCTGAACCTCTGTCGAGCTATAAAGCAGGCGGCCATAAAACCCACAGCTGCCTGGTAGTGAAGTCCCTCAATGGGTCATAAAACTCAGGGGAGTTGGAGTTGAAGAGAATACATCCTACATTACTTTTCCATCCATAGACACACATCCTAAAGTAAAAACAATAATGATGATAATAATTCAATATCTACATATTAATATGTCTACATGAAGTTAAATGAATTCACAGCATACAAGCATAGGAGCATTATATCCAGCACATATCAGCTACGCCACCGTGAAGGAGGCATCGTGCTTCCTGAGGATTGCTGCAGGCAAAAGATTATCCTGCAGTGGTTTTAAACCACTCCTCATTTTGACATCATGTTCCAACAGCTCCAGAAGAAGGACATGGACCTGGACATTGTGTCCAACAATGTGCCTTGTACAAATTTACCTGTAGTGTTCAGGCCATCGAGTGAGATAATGCAATATGGATATAATGATAATAATTATGCACAAAATATGTTTCTGCATGGTACTATGGCGGAAGTGTATAGGAATTTAAAAGTACTTAACAAATGCAGTCATTTTCATTTGTTTCCATTATTAAGTCTATCTATTTCCTGAAAGCTCTGCAGTACAAACAATCTTTAATACACACTTTATTAACACTGGTTTTAAAACAATTATTGGAATTATTGATAATGGCAAGGTACCTTACTTTTCTTTCGCTCTTATTTTAGTCAGAGCAAAAAGTTCCTGTGATCACCACTAGCATTAAGCACCTGGCAGCTCAAGAATAAGGAAGGCCTTTTCTGTTCAATTCAGTTTATTTATTTATATTGCGCCAATTCACAACACATCTGTCATCCCAAGGCCCTTTACAGAGATAATTCAATCAGATCATGCAGTTACATTGGTTAAAAGTTTTGTATGTAAGGAAAAACCGGCTATTTGCATCGACTCATTGACTCCACAGCAATCCTTCACACCAAGCATGCATGTAACAACGGTGGAGAGAAAAACTCCCTTTTAACAGGAAGAAACCTTCAGCAGAACCAGACTCAGTGTGAGCGGCCATCTAGCGAGGCCGACTGGGGTTCAAGGAGACAAAAGCAGAGATACAGAAAAAAGGCCTTCTACACGAAGAGAAGCAGGCTGTCAAAAGAGATATCTCGTTTCACTACTGACCATAATTGTTGTAACCAAGTGATAAAACAGAATCTTTCCCTATTTTTGAGTTTGATTTAATAATAGATGGATATTCAATAAATTACTTACCAAACACACACTCATTCACTATGAGTCTGCATAAATAACAAAACTCTCGAACTTTGAAAAAATCCAGACCTGGAATCCTTCATCATAAACTGCAAACCTTTTTATTCACCCCACAAGTTTTTCTTCATTAATTCTGGTCAGACTCTACATGGCGCAACAGGCAAATGTGCAGGTCACACAGCGTTCCCTTGCAGACCAGATACTGAGAGTGGAGCATAGCAATCCAGACTCTTTAGTTATAGCCCTTGATGATTTTAAAGAACTTAGCCCGAGCTATCGCCGTCACCCTCTGTGACTCCACAATTGACACTGTGGGGTCTTTCCGCTTCCTGTAAATTATCATCTCACAGGACCTAAAGTGGGAGCTGAACATCAAGTCCCTCACCAAGAAAGCCCAGCAGAGGATGTACTTCTTGCTACGACTGAAAAAATACAACCTGCCAAAGACAAAGATGGTGCAGTTCTACTTCTCCATCATTGAGTCCATCCTCTTCCATCACCAGATGGTGATCCTCTTCCATCACCATCTGGTATGCTGGTGCCACCGTCAACGACAAGGGCAGACTGCAGTGTGTCATCCATTTAAAGAAGACTGGAAAATTGGTGGGTTAGCGGTGTTGTGAACAACATCTGGTGACATCTAAGCCATGTTACTGTGAAGATTTATCACTGCAGCCAAGATATTGAACTGTTGACATATGGGTTCTGACCATACTATTTACCCAGAGAGTTTACCAGTGTTATGTTGATAACCATCTACATTCCACGTTCTGCTGTTGCCGACACTGAATGTGAGGTAATCAGTTCAATGATTGTTAAGCTACAGACACAACAGCCAAATGCATTTGTGGCAACTGGGGATTTTAATCACGACTCACTGTCTGCGAAAATGCCAACGATCTAATAGTTTGTCAACTGCTGTACCGGAGAAAACCAAACCTTTTATGCAAAAATATTTAATGCAAATTTCAAGCACTCCTACATCTCTGAAGTAAGACCTCCTCTTGGGAAATCACATCAGAATCTTGTCTTTCTCTGCTCAGATTATAAGCCATTTTATAAGAAACAACCTGCATTAAAAAATAACTGTAAGGAGATAGTCAAAGGAAGATGAAGAAGCCCTATAAGGTTGTTTTAAGGCCAAAGACTGGGATGCACTGCGTCAGCTACATAGAGAGGACAGCAATGCAGTAACTGAGTTTGTGATTGACTACATAACTTCTGTGAAGAACACAATCCCTACTACATCAGTGAAATGCTTCCCAAATAATAAACAATGGATCACAAATGATTTGAAGCAACTGCTTAACAAGGAAAAACAAGCCTTTAAGAAGGGAGACAGGGAATTAATGAGGAGTATACAGAAGCAACTTAAGGTCAATTAAGAACAGCTTAGTGGGGGATGTCCAGTGGAGAACCAAAACAATTTTGGAATTAATAAATATTTGGGCTAAAACAATGGCCCCAAAGAAACTTCAGGAGTCATACCATCAGTTTATGAAAATATTCTCTTTGAAATTTTAAAAAGGGGACACCGATAGGTCTTGCTTAAATGCCAGAAAAAAGATCAACAGCCTAAAAATATACAGTAAGGTGGCGAAAGATTCCAAACAACAAAGTGGTCAGGAACGGATTACTTGTCCCTTTTACAAGGACCTCGAGAAAATACTGGGAGGTAAATCTAGCTGTCGGCCCTTCGAGATGCTTGACAGCTCAGTTGATTGTGTGAGCAAACATGCTGTATTATCTGGCTACTTCCACTGCGTAACATCTTTAAAAGCTATTGATAGACACTGAGTTCAAAGGTAGCCATCTTTAAAGAAATGTCTGACAAGTCTTGCTTTTGATCTTCTGTGCATGGAGGTCACTTCAGGGCCACTATTTGAGACGGTCATATGAACAGTGGCACAAAAACAATGGGATCTGACAATAAAATCAGAAATAAGCATTAAGGCCTGAAGTGTGAAATGTGATTCAGACAAGCTAAGAGTTATCTTGGCATCTTGGCATGTACATGCTGATTAACCTTGGAGTATATTCTACAGTATTTCACAGTTTGACAGACATCACCTACACAGGAGGTGTATATATGGGAGGCAATGCAAAGAATGGGCTAATCAGCTCATAAGGAGCAGGTGTGGATAGAAGTAATTAGAATGGAGCTACAGGAAAGGAAACTGGCACAAGGGGGCAACAGAAAGTTAATAAAAAAAATACAACACTGCTTAAATATAACACAAAAAGGAAAAGAAACCAAGAAAACACAGAAACACATAAATCAAGGTGTAACTGAAAACTTATAAAGAAACTTCAACAGAAGTCGACAAAGTGCAGAATCATGACACACTTCTTAAATAAAAAATGTATGATGTAAGGAAAGAAAGAAATGTTTAAGATATATATATATACATTTTTGTATTAATGTATATTGATACATCTTATATTTCATTGATGAAATCAAATTTGTATTTAATGTTCAGATAACAAAAAAGTTATCAAAATGTATCATTTTAGATCTTGAAAGGTAACTGTAGGTACTTTCTCTAGTAACTTGCTACATTATTGGTGCAGTGAGTGAGTTTAATAACTCAGTTACTTTTTAAGAGAAGCAATTAAAAAACTATAACTTGTTACATTTGAAACAATATGAAACATCATCAAATCACAGCCACAATTTACTGCCTTATGAAAAACAAAGATTGTAACTGAAACAGTTTTTTTATATGAAATTTTCCTACTGTCAGGTAAACTAACATATCGTGTAAAATCACTATCAGTACCTTACCTTGATTGTTAAGTTGGCCTGTTTCTCAACCAGCTGCAGGACTCCTTTATTGTGTCAGTTTCAGTTTATGACTGTGTTTTAAATTCTATTCAGAATTTAATGAATGGGTCAGGTTTTAAATATTTTGTATATTTAGTGTTATTATCAATGTCTTCTATTAGATTTCAAAGGGATGGCTAATTGAGATCAAAGAGTTCTAACAGTACTCATATTCTGGATTTATCTTTCACACAATATAAAACTCTCTATCAGACAAATATACAAAGTCACAAAGGCTCTATGTAACTTTGCTCTATAAATCAATGGGTGTTGACAAGTTTACTTTTGCATTGAAATGTTAGGCCTATTCATTTTGAGAATTTAGAACTATATTTCATATTCAGGAATTCAGTTTGACTTATTGTTCTTTTATGACAAAAAGCTTGTGCTACTTTTTCATTTAAGTGACACTGTTTGATTTATTTCCTGGATTTAAATAACACAAGCTTCATTTCTTTGATTTGTGTTTAAATATTCCGGGTCGGGTTTTTTCATCTGACGGCTCACATAAGACATAATTTACCATGATAATTTCATGAAAGATGAAAGCTGAGGCACACCCAGAATAAATGTGTACTGCTAAGGCCACTATAACACTTTATTGTGTCTTTTGATGACTACCACGTAAAATGATTTCAGATAAGATAAGATTTAATTTTTATGGTTCAAAATTCACATAAAGACATTCCTGTCTTTGCCACTGTTAATTTGGATGTGACATTGTTATACAAAGAAATAGACAAAATACACAAGACTTACTGTATATGCAAGACTAAACAATATGAAAAAAAGTTTTTCCTTCTCAATTGCAAAGAAACATATTGGTTGCTCTTCTTATTATATGAATTGTAGAAATAATCATGGAAGCAGATCTCTTCTTGACAGAACCATTTAAATTCAAACTTTACATAAGTGATTCTATGGTATTATTAAGAATTAGAAAAACAACAGTCTCCCTTTCTGAGTAAAATTAACCTTTAGGTTTGTACTGTATTAATATGACTCTCTTGAAACCAAAAACGTGTGGACTACCACAGATATAAGCTGCAGAATTATTGTGCAACGACTTAAGAAGCATATAAAATGAGGCTCTCTTCATCTTTAGTTTTTAGCAGGACAGGATAAAATCTTGGGTAATTGGTAACCATACTTATATACTGATAATTAAAAGAAGAGATTTGATTCAATACTTGTTGATGTCTGTCTTGATGGAAAAGAAGATCCCCACTATCAAGAAAAAGGCAACATTCTATTCCTATATCTCTTTAAAATGACTTGTTTCAAATTCGATTGAAGACCTGTGTTATTGTCCATGCAGAAGGCCATAACATAAATAAGAACAAAATGGTCACAACTACACAGAAATCAAAAATGTAAAGTAAATTAAACACTTTGGTCAAGCCTCCTGACTTGAAACAGTGCTTTACAAGTACGGGACATTTATCATCCAATCTCTAAATGCTATTTTTGAACAGACCCAATAATGGTAAAATGATGTGTGAAGAAAATGAAAAATGTTTGGGATTGAACATTGTGTATGTGCATCTTTTCAGATGCACTTATATAGAATATAGACATTGTTGCGAATAATTGTTAAATTCAATACCCTCGCACGGGGCACCATATTATGTTGTGATACTTTAAGATGTGTATTTCCCTCCCCGGAAGCAGTGGCAAATATTTTTTTTAATCAGGTGAATAAAACATTATTTGGCTAAATAATGTTTTATGAAATGTTCAGCTTTATCAGGAATTAATAACCTTTAGTTAATGATTCTTTACCCTCTTTGAAATAGCTGGCAGCGAATAGACATGAGCATTCTACTAAATGACCTTTGGTCATACCTGGTAAGGAACACATAAACATTAATTTTATACAAGTGTTTAAACCCTTATTGAAATAAAGGTCATCCAAGCTTCAACAACAGCTGAAAACATATTACTGTAGCATGGCGTAGCATGCAATCTATCCTATTAGCTTGTCTTTACTCATCAGTAAACACATGAAATGATCAAAATCATCAAAACACATAATTGTTTTTTCTGTCCCTAATTGTGCCAGACCTGCAAACCTCTGCCCATGTCCGTTTTGGAAGGTTTGAGTTTCCCCTAGCACTTAGCAGCTTGGCAGGCTGACATTGGGGGTTGTCATTTGTCCCATGCAGCTTGCACATAGGAAAAGGCTACTTTAGGTGGCTTTCACCTCCAATTTGGCTCTGTAAGTTCTGAAACTCAGAGAAATGTGTTACAAATGGCCTGTTTTGCATGAGTTCAGTTATGGAATGTGAATCATCATGACTTTGCCATCTTCTTTCTTAAGATCTTCGCCTTGAGCCTGGGTCTCCATGGTGGTGTCAATTAAATTTTCAATTCAGTTTATTTATATAGCGCCAAATTCACAACACATGTCATCTCAAGGCAGTTCAACCAGATCACACAGTCAAATTGATACAAAGTTTTCTATCTAAGGAAAATCAGTTGATTCCATTGACTCATTGACTCGAATACAATCCCTCACACTAAGCATGCTTGTAGCGACAGTGGAGAGGAAAAACTCCCTTTTAACAGGAAGAAACCTCCAGCAGCCATCTGCCGAGGCCGACTGGGGTTCAAGGAGACAGAAGCAGAGACACAAAAAGCAGCTGCAAAAGGCGGCCCCCTCCAGGAAACACACAGCCAGGCAGACGAGTTCCGAGCCAGCTCCCA